CCGAAACACTAATTCAAAAGAATATATTCACCCTGATGTTCACTGCAGCACTATTTACAATAACCAAGATTTGGAAGCATCCCAACTGTCCATCAGCAGATGAGTTGATGCAAAAGCTGTAGTATATTTACACAATGGAATATTACTTGGCAGTTTAAAAAAAGAGGAAATCTTACCTTTTGTGACAGCATGGATGGACCTGGAGAGTATTATGCTAAGTGAAATGTCAGAGAAAAACAAGTACCATACGATTTCACTTACATGTCGAATCTAATGAACAATATAAACTAACAAACAAAACAGAAACAGAGTCATAGATACAGAGAACATACTGGCAGGAGTGGGTTTTGGGGGATGGGTGAAAAGTTGAAGGGGTTAAAAAAATAATCACACACAGACAACACTATGGTGATTTCCAGAGGGAAAGGGGGTGGAGGGAGGTAAAAGAAGGTAAAGGGCAGATAAGTAGTGATGGAAGGATACTTGACTTGGGATGGTGAACACACAATATACAGATGATGTATTGTAGAATTGTACACCTGAAACCTAAATAATTTTATTAACCAATGTCACCCCAATAATGCAATTAAAAAATAAAAGTAAACAAATACATTAGGTACTAATTGCATTCTGTAGTCCTATAAATTTCCAGAGATCACAGTTTAATAGTGTAGAAGAAAATAAACATCCTTAAAATGTCTAGTCTTCATGAGAGACATAACAAAATTAGAAATTCTCACTAGTATTTTTGGGTGTAAAAACTAAAAACCACTAAAATCAGTCTACTTGACATAGATGACAAAAAAAGAGCAGAATTTAAAAGCTTTCCAAAACATGGCTGGTGTGGCTCAGTGGTTGAGCATCAACCCATGGACCAGGTTGAATTCCCGGTCAGGGCACATGACCGGGATATAGGCTCAATCCCAGTGGGAGTGTGCAGGAGGCAGTGACCAATGATTCTCTCTCATCATTGATGTTTCTCTCTCTCTCTCTCTCCCTCCCTCCCTCCCTTCTTCCCTCCCCCCCCTTTCTCTCTCTCTCTCTTCCTCTCTGAAGTCAATACAAAATATATTTAAAAAAATCAAAAAGCTTTCCAAAAAGCAATGGTTCACAGGATAAAAGGTTTCAAAACTAGAGCTACCTGAGCAGATTGATAGTATACAAAATAAAAAACAACAGATTATCTGAAGTAGGTAGGTATGGGATATATTTCATTTAGACAGACTATTTTTAAAAAATAATCTGTGTCCATTACCCAAAACCTTAAAATGACCATCTTCCATTTATAAGTAAATTCACTTTTAAGTAAATGAATTAAATATAAAGGAGTATTGGTATGTCCATCCTTTGTTTTAGAACTGAATATGACACTTGTTGAGTAGAAATAAGGAATTCAGAAACACTAGACAGGGCCTATAACAGTTTTCAGTTCTTAACAAAAGAAACTACTTGAACCATTTTATCCTAAAAGAGTCCTTGTTCTTTTCAAGAACTTGAAATGTTTTAAAGATATTTCAATCTCTTCAGGAAGGAAGAGACTATGGCAGTTACTTCCATTTACACAGAGACTCAGGTATTGACAGTTGTCATTCCCTGATTACATCCTCTCTTGACTCTTCACTCTACAGTCAAAAGTCTTTGGACAGAAGGACCAATCAGTTGTACATGATATGCTACTTTTATTAAAGAAACCAGTGTCCCAGTGCACGGATTTGTACGCATTGAAAAAAAATTAATTAGAAGGTGGCCAGTGGGGCAGGGCGGGACTGGACAGGACTGGGTGAGACGGGCTGGACACGTCCTGAAGCCAACCTCCCATAGTCTCTCCCCAGATGGCTGCACCTGGGGCGGTGACGCGGCTCGAAGGGCGTTTGCATCCCTCCAGCAGATGGGTCCCTCAGCCTGGCCTGCAGGCATCGGGCCGTAACTGGCTCTCCGGCATCCCCCAAGGGGTCCCGGATTGTGAGAGGGTGGTTCTCAAGTGATGCACCCCTAAATCCGGCTCCCTCCTCTCTAGTTCCGGGGTGCGGCACACAAGAACTGCTGCTCGGCAGCTCCTGCATTGAGTGTCTGTCCCCGGGTGGTCAGTGCACACCGTAACTACTGGTTGCACGGTTGCTTAGCCTTTTATATATATAATGCCATTTTATACAGATTGAAATTTCTGTATATTAGCTTGACTAGCATTCAAACTTCCAGAAATTTTAGGCAAAAGAAACAGGAATGGGTATGTGTCAACATTTAGCTATATAGTCCTAGCCTGTTTGGCTCAATGGAAAGAGCATCGGCCCTCAGACTGAAGGCTCCATTTGTGTCAAAGGCACAGACCTCGGTTGCAGGCTCGGTCCCTGGCCCTGGACAGGGCCCCCCGGGAGGCAACCAATCGATGTGTCTCTCACATCAATGTCTCTCTTTCTCTTTCTCTCTCTCTCTCTCTCTCTCTTTTCCTTTCCCTTCCACTCTCTAAAAATAAAAAAATTTTAAAAAAATCAATGGAAAATTATTCTCAAATTAGGATTAATAAAACAAAATAAAAAAAGTTTAGCTATACAAATGCCCAAAAACTGCTTTTGATCATTTTTTAAAAATTAAAATAATCTGAATGTACATCAGCAGAGCACTGGTTAAGTAAGTAAAAGAACATATTGTCAGAATATTATGCAGCTATTATAAAAGTGGGACTGAAGAAAAACAATATGTCAAGTGAAAAGTGTGGGCTATAAATCAGCACATAGCAAAATCCTTTATTAAATAAACTAGAGGCCCGGTGCACGAATTCGTACACCAGTGGAGTCCATTGGCCTGGGCCGCGGGATCGGGCCAAAACCAGCTTTCTGACATCCCCCAAGGGGTCCTGGATTGAGAGAGGGTGCAGGCTAGGCTGAGGGACCCCACTGGTGCACGATCGGGGCCAGGGAGGGACGTGGGAGGTTGGCCAGCCAGGGAGGGATGGTGGGAGGGCTCCACAGCGTGTCTTGCTCAGTCCTGATCCACCGGATCTCATCAGCAAGCTAACCTACTGGTCGGAGAGTCTTCCCCCTGGTGATCAGTGCACGTCATAGCAAGTGGTTGAGTGGTTTTAGCATATCATTTGCATATTATGCTTTGATTGGTTGAACGGCCGACCGGTCTACCAGACACTTAGCATATTAGGCTTTTATTATATAGGATATACAAATCTATAATAATAAAAGCCTAATATGCTAATTAGACTGGACGTCCTTCCAGACGAAGCTGGGGCTGCGAGGGAAGCCAGGGTCCTGGGTGCCAGAGGGAAGCTGGTGCCAGGAAGGCCTACTCTTGCATGGATTTCGTGCATCAGGCCTCTAGTCTTTATACATAAATGTTAACCATGGTTTTCTCTATATAATAGCATTATAGGTAATTGTTAATTTTCTTCAGATGTAATTGTGGGTTCTAGATCTCCTAAAACATACATAGATTTAAAAATAATTATATATTTATATAAGTTAAATATGCTTATATAATTATAAAATAAACCAGAAAAACATAAATAATAATTTAGAAATTACTGGAAAAAAGGTATTCCAACATTAAATGAGTTGCAGAGAAGCTAAAAGAAAACTTAGATACTTCTGTTTCTCCTGAGCAAAGCTAATTCTTAAGAGTAAACTTCTAGCCCTGCCTTGTGTGGCTCAGTTGACTGTTGTCCCATGCACTAAGGTCACTGGTTTGATAACCACTCAGGGACTCAGGGCACATTATCTGGGTTTTGGGCTCAATCTCTAGGTTGTGGGGGGGAGGGGAGGGGTAGGAGGCAGCCAATCAATGTTTCTCTCTCCCTCTGCCTTTCTAAAATCAATAAAAACATTTTTTAAAAGTAAACTTATAGAATATAGTCATTTCCAAATAAGTGCAAAAACTATATTCAAGTCTAGAAGTTAATGTGGAGTTTATCCAGTTTTAATAAATGTTCCTTTTTCCACTTAGGAGAGAAGTGAAGGTCTGAAAACAATACTTGAGGATTATAAATAATGAGAAAGCTGGTAACAAAATTCAGATCTTTTAGGTACTCGAATTTTATCAGGATAGTCAATAAATCTATTACGAAGGTTTTGTCTCTCCTGCTATTAGCAATATTCAGTTTCAATACATACCTGAGGCATTTTAAAACTCCAAGTGTGTTTCCTATCACCACACTAGAGTTTAAAAATCCAGTGCTAATTCCTTCCTAGTAACTAAGCAAGTTTGGTTTTCATGTGAAATATGTTAAGGTTAGTAACCTTCTCTAATAAAACTCAGTATACAATTTGAATTCTACCTATCAGATAACATGCTAATATTAAAAGATGATTGAATGAACATATTTAATAGGAACAACATTCTGAACCTCAACTATTATCTTAAAATATTTTTTACACTTTTATTTTACTTTTTAATGGGGTTTTTAACTCTATATAAATAGTACTGGGCATTCTCCCTTTTAGTTATAGCAAAATTATTATTAGCATTACATATCACTTGCAAAGGCTAGGCCCTCATATTTGCACAATGAATATTATATAATAGTTTAATACCTTCACTAAATCTTGCTTAATATAGAGCTATAATTTAAGATTAGTAGCTTTATTACTTCCTAGCAGTTAGTCAGGTAACACCATACAGGCATACTGAAAGCATTTTGTCTTTTTGAAACCTAAAGTCATTACCAAATTAATTAATGGGAATTTTAAAAACTGTTTATACATGCTTATTTTTTAAATCTGCTAAAACAAACTGGATTTCTAAATTGACTAAATGTTTCAACTTTAAATCAAGACAAATTGCAAAATCAAAGTCCACAAAAAACCATATATGAAACAGTTTAGTCGCCCAAACTAAAGAAACTGATCCTAATTATTCAATACCTCTTCTTGCTTTCAGTTTAACTGCCACCGTACATTCAGATACACACACTCCACATATAACATTTAATAATAATACATCTTTAAGGGCTAGAATTTCTCCCATGCCCATAACTATCACCTTACCCCATTCTGTGCCATCCCCTGAACTCCGTGCTTCTCCAGCTCCTTCACCATCTTCAGCAGTCACTAAAAAATCAAATTCTTTCAGTGCTTCCTCAGTATCAGGATCATCAGTTAAGTCCGCAGCTAAACCTTCATTACCTATCTGTAAGTGAAACATAAGCCAAAAATTACTTTTATCCTACATTTTAAAGGGGTTCTTTATAGTTTCACACAATTATCTTTACATTGGCACTCCTATTTTTAAATTACTTAGGTATAAAATTTTAGATTTTCCATGTAGTTCACCAATCCTAAATTATACCCTAGATCTGTGGTCGGCAAACGGCGGCTTGTGAGCCACATGCGGCTCTTTAGCCCCTTGAGCGTGGCTCTTCCACAAAATACCACGTGCGGGCACACACGTACAGTGTGACTGAAACTTCGTGGCCCATGCACAGAAGTCGGTATTTTGTGGAAGAGCCACACTCAAGGGGCCAAAGAATCACATGTGGCTCGCGAGCTGCAGTTTGCCGAGCCGCAGTTTGCTGACCACTGCCTAGAGATAAATGGTTTTCAAGTGTGTGAAGAACATTGTATAATGTGATGCAAGAAAGGTGGTAGTAAGAAGTATTAATATGCTAATGACCAAGAATAGTTAACCTGTTTAATTATAATATATTCAATTATCCTTTTAAAAAACCCATTCACTCACTTAAATGGAAAAGTTATGCTGAATTGACCTCATTCACTTTGAACTATAACTTACAGATACGATACAACTAATGAAACATTAACTAAGCCAATAGCTGTGGTAATTATAATAGTGCTTTACCTCCCAGAACAGAAACAAACAAAATAAAACAAAAAAGGAAACAAAATGTCTATTTACTCATGTTACACATATTGAATATATTGCAAATATAAAATGTGGCAAAAAGATTAAAAACTGCTTTTATAGACACAATGACATTTCCCTACCCCACTGTAACATCCCCAAGAACTATAACTGAACCTATCCTTTTTTTTTTACATACTTGAAATATTGTACATTACTATGATAATTCACAAATGGATCACGCAAACTACTTTTGCTCCTATAGCTAACCCACATCACCACTAAAACAGATAAACCTGTTTCTTAGGTTATAAGCAAAAGTAAATTATTAATCCTTACCAAACAATAAGAATGTCAACACATACATCTGTAATTCATAATAGTTTATTTCTATTTGAAATATATGAGCATATATATTTTAGCTAATAAGAATAGAAAATCAAGTTCCTACTTTGTGTTTATTAATCCGATGTTTGTCTTTTCCTTCTGGGATCCCTTCAATCATGTCATTTTCCTCTTCTTCATCACTGTCATCAGCATTTTCTAAGAAATTGAATGTCTCAAGAACATCACCAGAAGGCCTGTATGAAGGGAAAAAGATGAATCCAAATATTCCAATGGTTACTTCTAATATTTCTTTCTGGTTCCTATTTTACAACAGCACTTGAAGGTAGTATAGAGATCCAAATGACAACCTATTTATAAATGTATTGCGTAAATATTTTACCCAAGACGAGAATTCTGAAAGATTAGTTATGCTCTACAATTAAATTAAAAGTGACTGTTTCCTCCAGTGTTTACTGTCCAAAATATTTTAAGTAATTACTGTATCAAAGTAAAATCCTGTATTATTAGACACTGAAATGTGGTACTATTTCTCAAAATAAAGGCACCATAAGCAAGCAACTTAAATTGAGCATCTCTTATAACTATAACCTATTACAGATTGGCCCAAACATTTGAACACTAAAGCCAAAGTTTAATTTATCAGGCTGCCCAGATTTAAATTATGGTAAATCAGTTATAGAATATTCCAATCCGTTTCACATATTTTCTTCTCTTTTCCTTTTTAAAATATAGTTTTATTGATTTCAGAGAGGAAGGGAGAGGGGAGAGAGAGAAACATCAATGATGAGACTCATTGATTGGCTCTTCTGCACACCCCACACTGGGGATTGAGCCTGCAACCTCGGCATGTGCCCTTGACCGGAATCGAACCTGGGACCCTTCAGTCCAGAGGCTGACACTCTATCCACTGAGCCAAACCAGCCAGGGCTTCACAAATTTTCTTACCTAGAAAACGGGATCCTTAACATACTAAAGATAGCTGCCTGAACTTGGCCAAGCCACTTAGACCTTTTGGCTTCAACTTCTTTACAGGCAGGGGGAAAAATGTGGGAGTTGAACTAGATCAGTGATGGCAAACCTTTTGAGCTCGGCATGTCAGCATTTTGAAAAACCCTAACTTAACTCTGGTGTCGTGTCACATATAGAAATTTTTTGATATTTGCTACCATAGTAAAACAAAGTCTTATATTTTGATATTTATTTTATATATTTAAATGCTATTTAACAAAGAAAAATCAACCAAAAAAATGAGTTCACGTGTCACCTCTGACACGCGTGTCATAGGTTTGCCATCACTGAACTAGATGATCTCAAATGTCCTTATCAACACTAAGAATGCATGGTAACGAAAATAATATAAAATTTACAGTTTTCTCCCTCCCTGATTGGTTCTATTAATTCAAATTAAGGACATAATACAAGAAGACTATTTCTTTTGATAGCACTTTAACATGCCAGAGGGTTTTAATAAATCTACTACACTTTGCCTAATCCAGCACATTAGGGATCTATATAAACACTGAATGTAAAAGAGACTGTTTCCAAATGCAAATTGGCAAAAACAAAAACAAAAACACACACACAAACCTACCACAATAATAAAACACACTTTTTAGCTCAGCATTTAAAATATCTTTAATATTTGAGAATTAAATGAAAGGCAAATAAAATATTCAATAACAAAAAATATAAAGAATATACAGTAGTAAGTCCTCACTTAACGTTGTTGACAGGTTCTGCAACTTCAAGGGAACTGAAATATGAAACCAGTTTTATCAAAGGCTAATTGATATAAACAAGAGATAAGTTCTTACTGCATCTCATCAATGTCATACTGAAACAACAATGATGGAGGGGGAAATGTGCCAATGCGGGAAAAGGGGACATCTGTAATCCTATATAATGAAGGCCTAATAAGCTAAATGTCTAGTTGGCCGTTCAATCAATCAAAGCGTAATATGCTAATGATATGCTAAGGCCACTCAACCGCTCGCTATGACGTGCACTGACCACCAGGGAGCAGACACTCTAACCAGTAGGTTAGCTTGCTCCTGGGGTCTGGTGGATCCGGACTGAGCAATCCCACAGTCCCTCCTCAGCTGGCCAACCTCCTTCCTCCCTCCCCAGCCCTGATCATGCACCGCTGGGGTCCCTAGCCTGGCCTGCACTCCAGGACCCCTCGGGGGATGTCAGACAGCTGGTTTCGGCCTGATCCACAGGGCAGGCTAAGGGACCCCACTGGTGCATGAATTTGCGCACCAGGCCTCTAGTACTTTCAATAATAAAGATAAGTTTTTTTAAAAAAAGAAACAACAATGAAGAAAATGTTATTTGAAGACCTGCTGTAATAAATTTAAGATATGAGAATTTGTTTGGAACTTTCATAAATTAAGTGCTGCTAGCCCTTGAATAGAAACTTCTATCTCTAAAGTGAAAACTCATATTTTAGGTTTTACAATTATATTTGATCACAGCAATACATGTGCATGGCTTTAAAAGTCAAATTGAGCACAATCCAAAGAAGACATAATTGATGAATCAAACTTACAAAAATTAAAAACTTGCTCTTTGAAAGACACTGTTAGAGAATTTAAAGACAAGCCCACAGATTGGGAGAAAATATTTGCAAATCACATATTTGATGAAGAACCTGTGTCCAGAATATACAAAAAACACTCAAATCTCAACCATAACAAACAATAAAAATGAGGATATTATTCAAATTGACACTATCAAGAGATAAATGGATGGCATAAACAGATAATGGACATCACTGGTCTCTAGGAAAATAAAAATTAAAAAGCAAGGATGGACTGTGAGGGTCTAAGTTAACTCTACTTGCATGCTAACACGCTGTTTCTTTTGAGATGTTTCTTTCTGGTGTTCATGATGATGAACTTTGTATGGGTCTTTATTCAGTAATTTTATAGTGCTCTTTGGGGGAATCCTTTTTAACTCCCGCCCCCCCCCCGAAAAAAAAATCCTGGAAAATGCAATCTGTATTCCTAGAAGTGGGATTATTGGAA